AGCATCTGCATGTTATCATATTTCAATTTCATGTTGAATTTGGTCTTTATGCTTATTTATATATCTCTAAATTGCTTTAACTCAATCAAGATCACAATCTTTATGGCAAAAAAAGAAAAATCAAGTTCATCTCAAAATTCCATTAGGATATGTTTGGGAACTTGAATTTGTATTTGAGGGATGTATTATAATACATGTATTTCCAAATTCACTATTTGGATTAAAATAACAACAATGAATTTCATATTAAATTTGCTGATTGAGGCATTTTTACAAACACTTTCAAGACAGTGCCTTTGCAACTTTCACTAACATGCCCAAGCCGTAAAGCTTTCACCCGATCTGCTAATAAACAGGAAGTAGAAAATCACTAGTACCTCTAGCATCACACACCAAAAGAACAAATATAAATCTCAAGGAAAATTCTATCGGTCAAATTATTTGGAGAAGAGTATATTCCATATAAACAAACAAGACTTACCCAATATGAACCCAGGGAAAAGGAAACCAAAAAACAAAATCTATTTTTCTGGGAGAAGATTTGTAATATTTCAATATGAATCAAGATTTTTGTGAAATTAAGGGGATTCTTCTCAAGTATAGAAAGAGACAAGAAAACAAGATCTTTGGAGTGAACAATGGAGGATTGATGATAAATTGTTTTCCATCTCTATAGCAGAGATTGGTCATTTGGCACCTTCTTCTGATGGAAGTCATCCACCATCAATCTCTGTCAAAATTTTTCTAGGAAGAGGAGAGAGTTGAAATACATGGATCTAAATTTGAAATACATGAGGTTGTGTGGGTATTTCAAATGCACAAATTTAAAGCAATGAAATACATGAACCCAATTACATGTATTTGGGATAAATTCAATTACATACTTATTTTGTGAAAACAAATAGTGATATTGAATTTGGAAGGCTCAAATTCAAATACACTCTACAAAAATTACATTCCCAAACATACTGTTATAGAATTAGACAAGGATCACCTACAACACACAGAAATAAGCTTGCTTGATTCTTCTCGGATTCTCAAGCTCCAAGTGTGGTTAACAGGCTCTTTCCTCTCTAATGCAAATGTACATACAAATGTTGGCCTAGGTTATTTGAGTTTAATTGCAGTCTACTACTCTACTTCCCAGAGTCCTAGATTTGCCATGTAATAAAGCATGTTGAAAACCTACCATAGAAAGCATCTCAAAGTTGGCTTGCCACTGTTGTTCTAATCAGTGAAGGACGGGATTATTACAATTTTTGTGGACTGCAACTAATTTACTTCCCTTGGTTGATAGGTATGAACATCAAGCTAAGATCCCATATTACAAAGTGATTCATGTTGGACATCCTACAGAGGAACACGTGCGGTATCATCAGAGGTATTGTTTACTCATTTCTCACTATTGCCAAATTTAAAATGGAGAAAGTGATTTTTTTTTTTTTTGGAGAAAGTTCAATAAAGTTCAACCATTGATTATATTTATATTTAGAGGGAGCTAAGGGAAGCACCTTTTTTTGTTTTTTTTGGGGAACTAATACCAGCTATGATTCTGCACCATAGCTAATGCAAGGAATTGGACTAAGCCCTTGGTAGGTCCATCTCAGGTTGGTAATGTGTACGGTGTACCACAGAAATGTTGAAAAGCATGATCTTGCTTTTTGGATTTTGATCAGGGTGAATATCTTATGGGTGTGCTTGCTGTAGTTCACATGCTATTTGGAAAGCTTTAGTAGAACCATGTTGGAGGCATGGTGTCGTTTGAAGTAGAAAGAAGGTTGACATGCAATTGTTGGCATGGAAGTGAAGAAGGATTTCCCAATGGGAATGTGGAGTGTGTTTCTTGTTTCCATGTTCTTAGGGTAAAAATGATATATAAGATTAATATAAGAGTGGGCTCATTAGCTCTAGATCTTAAAACAGGCATCATTTTCTCGGCACGTTGTTCAATTGCTATGTTAGTTCAATCCAGAAAGTAGCTTATTTTAGGGTGCATTTGGAATTGCGGTTGGGCATTTTTTCTTATAGCCATACAGTGCTTTTAGATATATTTATGTTTGGTAATTTTTTCAAACTACTTTTTCTAGAAGTTACAGAAAGCCACAGTAGATTTACAACAATTTTATATATAAAGCCAGAAGCCTTATTTTGAGCTTTCTAGCTTTCTGGCTCTAGCTTTCATGGACAACACTTAATATTTAATACAATTAAGAAATTACTCATTAAAATCCAACCTCGTTTAATTTAATTACATTATAATTTATAATATTTTATTTAAACTTAATTTCGTTATTTAAAGATTTCATAAAAAATTTAAAACTCATTCCCTCCTTATGAGTTACTCTCTTGTGAAACCTAAATAAATACTCATCATAAGAAATCTAAAAAACCTAAATTATTAAGAAGTAGCAAATATTAT